CCTGATCTGACTGTTGCAAGGTAAAGCTACCGCCCAACCCTAAATGGGGAATAAATTTGGCTCGCATTCTTAAGTTAAATTTAATGGCACTGTAAAACATCTTCTTAACTCTGATAATATTCGAACTACAGGTGCATATTTTAACAGATGACTATGCTATTCGCTAAATGTAAATTCATACGTATAATCATTCTTCATTTTTAATGCTGTAAGTCTTTTTTCTGCATGCATATATCCGATATTCCTACTATTTTCCTTATATTTATTAATGTACAGCCTTGGATTCCTAACTCATTAATATATTTATATCATGATATGCCACTAGAAAAGTGCATTGTCCTTTTATGTTTACGCAATACCAAATAGCCTGGTGAAGAACTAGCGAATGAAATATATTTAAAATTAAACAAATCGTTACTTGTGTTAATTTATCGTTATCCATCTGCATCCAAGTTACCTTTATTTCACTTCATTATTTTAATTTATCTTCTGCATCCTACATTATTGTTATCAGTCAAAGTAGCCTCGTATATTTTCTTCCATTTTTTCATGTTTATGCAACAGCCAAATTTTGTCCAACCATTTATAGACTCATTATTTTTTGTTGAATTATATTTGTTTTATATCTTCTGTTTTAGACATGCATTATCATTATAATATATGAAGTTGTTTTCAAACTTTAACCGAACAAATTCGTCAATATCTCTTTTGCTCTTTAAATTTATGATGAATTTTATAACAGCCTTTAATATTCATTTTATTGTGGCATTGTCTTTGTCAAAACACTCTTACTACTTATAAGGCTTAACTTTTTCACCGATTTGATTCAATTCAACACTCCCTTGATATTTTGGATTTCTGGCTTTTATTTCACTCAGTCGTTTCTTGCTGGAGTTTTGCAGAATTATGCTCGCAAGTACACTATACCTATAGATACTTTGGGATTTGAATTCACTGTGACAAATGTATACATAAGAGATGTAGTAGCTTTGTCTTCCCTAGCCAGCTCTACGCGAGTGACAACTTCAGATGGAGCTGCAGTCACGTCAGAGGCAGCAACTCGTCTTATGACGTCTGTAGCTATTGTCCCTGTCAATAAAGCAGTCCCAAACACTCGTCTGAACCAACTATCTAACGGACTCGAGAGTCCTGAGGATGGAGCCTATATTGTGGGCATTTTTCTGGAAGGAGCACGCTGGGATACCACTGAAGACCAGTAAGCTGAGAGTCTTCCAAAGACACTTTTTGATCAAGTTCCAGTTGTGAGTAAAAATTTTGATATCCGGGTGATTATAAAAGATCTAGACAATCACCAGTCCATAATCTTTATTTTTAATAACTGACAGGAAACCTTATATTATGTAGTGAAATTAATTATATTTTTAAAGGTTAATTTTAGCTCAATAGAAATTTTAAAGTTTATGCTGCAGGGATAGAGGGCATTTGTATTTAATTAAAGCTAAAAAAATTATAACTATTTAAACTAGATTTAGTTTCGTAAAAATGTATGTTTAACTGAATTCTATAGGGAAATTATTTATTGACTTTATTGGTTATGCCTATAATTATCTGATAACGATCAGTTTTAGGATATCTTAGAATACAGAGAATATTTATAATTGCATGTTTCTCGAATGATACAATTAGTTTGCATAAAACCATTGGTA